CTTCCCAAGTGCCATTCCCAGGGTTTACACAAAGTCCTGCTACTGATACAGAGCACAAAGCACATTTATTCATATAACTGAAGTGGTTTTAGCTCTGTGTCCTCAAATACAACAAAATTAATTTCTTCCTTTAAAAGCCCTCCTTGCTATTCCTGCTTAAATCAAGGACTCAAGGTACTGCTTCTCCCAAATTCAAATTAACATTTTGAATCCAGTTTCACCTTACAGAGTCTGGCTTTTGAGGCAGAGCAGCCAGTTCCTTCCAACATGAGCCAAAAGAAGTCACTGGGACAGTTTGTACAAACAGGCATGGGACTCTTGGAAAGCTTAGTGACCTTGATCCAGCATTCCTGAACACATGCTTAATTCACCCCAAAGCGTGTGCTGAAATGCTTCGCTGCATAAGAATGGGCTTAATCACATGCTTAAACACTTACTGCATGAGCACTTCAGAGATTAAGATTGATTAGGTCCTTCTCCTACCTGTACCCCATACCTCCCCTCCTCGTGAAAATCTCATTTCTGAGGGCACGAAACTCATAAGGAGACACAGGGAACACATTTTTCAACAGATTGCAAATTTTCCAGCTTCCTGCCCCCTGACCACAGAAGACTTGACCTTTTTAAGGGGGGATAAAACAATTTACTTCCAAAGCCTGATGGCATGAACCTCATCACGAGGTCAGAGTCCAAGTCATATGAGTTTTCCTTTAGTATTGTCCAGGAAGTCTTAGTTCCCAGCACTTACAACTCCTTTAAAACAAGCAAAATACAGATTTTCAGAGCTTGGCTCAGTGAAATCAAGTTGTTAATGTTAAAACACTTTATTGATCTTAAAGGAATACAGCAGGGAAACAAAGGCCATTAATTGAGAGAGAGGCTCTGTTTACATTAAGTCACACAGCATGAAAGGAATGAAAGGAGCAGATTCAAACTCAGGTCCCCACAAACTGAGGTCCCCAGAAGAACAATATACAAAGTTCAAGTGTTTACTTCAGCCTAGACTTGGTCTGGTCCCCAATGTTGTTTGGACCAAGCTTGCCCATATTTTCTGACTGGAAGCCATGCCAGGCAGCCATCAGTGGGTCAGATCCCCAGATCCCTGCTCAGGGGAGGAACATCTGCCCTGCCCCTGGGTCAGGGTTCTACCAGTGTGCTCCAAAACTGCTCTGCTGCCCCAACCAACACTGGTCAAGCAGAGATGACCATGGGATGCACTTCCAGACTGCTCTGTTGCTCCAAACCAAGGCACAAGTGGAGACACAGTGAGATGGAGAGGAAAAACTCCCCAAGGACAGCAAATTCCCAAGGCAAAGAGCAGTGGAGGCACTCCGGCTCTAGGATGGTTCCTTTGGTGTGCAAGTCACCAGCTTTTCCTGCAGTTTATAAGCAATTGTGGGGTGTAAAACTGCTGCCCAACAATGACTCCCAAGGTAGATTCATTTATGGACTGAAGTCATGAGGAACACACACGGATTGTGTCCATAAGCATATTTGTGGGGATGATGTTCACCATAACAGAGGATTTAGAGTGCCTACCTGAAAGGGTGAATGAATTTATTGTGCCAGAGGACAAGAGTGACCACAGCTATGTGTCCATAATCTGGATAAATGCATGTCAGCATCAGCCAAGTGTGGAAAGTGAACTTCTTGGCAAAGCAATGCAAAACTCGCCTTCAGCAGAAGTTGGGAGGGCAAAAAAACAAATAAACATTAGAGTGAGGAAAATTCAATTGCATAGACAGTTACTTCAGCTACTTCATTAGTTAAAGAGCAGAGGAACACAGGAAATGGTCTGCTGGGTGAGCAGGATGGTGCAACTCCCCCAGCTAATGGTGCTTCAGCAGCTGCAGGAAGACAATCTTGAGGAGGGGCACACAAGCCTGGCCGCTGTCTGCAGTCCAGTCACCTCAAACTCTTCCTGGCATCCACAATCATTGGAAGAGCACATCCATCCCTACCTTCTCTTTCCCTCTGAACTTGCTGATGTTACATCCATCTCACCATTTCCAGCAGAAACAAATTCCCTGCTGTGTAAAAAAGCACTTTCTAGTGTCCCTTTTAAATAGATCCCCCTGGCTTTCATGTATCTCCCCTCATTCCAGAACTGTGAGAATTTTCAAACCCCAAAGCAACTCATAGAATCTTAGAACAGTTAAGGCTGGAAAAGACCTCTGAAATCAAGTCCAACTCTTAACCCAAGCACTGTCTTGTTCACCACCAAATCAAGTCCCCTGGTGCCACATTTTCTGAACACTTCCACACATGGTGACTCCACCACTTCTCTGGGATGCTTGTCCCAATGCCTGAACATCCTTTCAGTGAAGAATTTTCTCCTAACATCCAGTCTACACCTCCCCTGGTACAACTTGAGGCCATTTCCTCATGTCTTATTGCTTGTTAATTGGGAGAAGAGAGTGATCCAGGCGGAGACCTGGCTCCACCCTGCTTTCAAGGAATTGTAGAGGGTGATAAGGTCTCCCCTAAGCCTCCTTTTCTCCAGGCTGAGGCTCCTGGCCCCCTCAGCCACTTCTCTCAAGACTTCTGCTCTAATCCACTCCTTTCATCCATTCCATTGCCTTTCTCTAGACATGCTCCAGCATCAATTTTTTCTCACCACAGCATCAATTGCTTATCCATCTGTAATATTAAGCTGAGAATGGTTCAGTTTTTTGTATTAGCAGCTCAGTCATATTTATTTTTGTTGGCTACTCCAAAGGTACATACTCTGAAATTAGCTATTAAAAATGTATTTAGCCTTTTCTGCTTCCTCAAAAATATCCTTGTTCCCTCTTGTAAGAAAAATCACGTGTCTAGGGAAAGCCATGCCCAGCATGGTGAGTCACCTGCCAAGTTGCCACCACTGCTCATCAAAGCCTTTGCTGCCCTTTGTGACAGGAAGGGGTGCAGGTCCCTCAGGGACAGCTTTGCTGGCTGCCACCTGAGGAGTGCCTGACCTTCCTCTGAGCCAACAAACAGATTTGGGATTACTGAAGGCACAGGACTGTTGCGGAGAATCTGTTTTCAGTCCTTATCCAGCATGAACCCCAAGCCATGAGAAAAGTAGAAAACTTGTAAAGGATGGGCAGATTCCTGCTGAAGCCCCAGGAGCAGGAAAGCTGCAGAGGGTTGGGACCTACAGGCTCTCTGCAAGCAGGGGCTGTGCTGTGGAAGGCCAAACCCAGACCTGGGGAATAAAAGCTCATCTCTTGTCCCCACTTCCTACAGGACTTGGTCAGATGGTTTAAGCACCTCAGCAACTGGGAGTGCCAAGAGTGGCTTTGATAATTCAAAGAATTCTGGAAGAAATGAGGCAGAATCCCTGGGAGGACTCCATTTAGTCCAGTCTAACTTACTGAGCAAGGTGTTAGAAACACCTCCTCCTCCCACCTCTTCCAGAAATCCAGATGAACCAGGATCAGACCACTCTATTTATGGGACTCTCCACTCCTCCTTTCCCGCAGACCCAGCTGTCTGAGCCCTTGCTCCACATTGGATTTCTCAGGGCAAGCAGGAGGTCCACAGCAGTGGCCCCACGCAGTTGGGATGTCTGGGCACCATGCCAGAACCTCTCCCTGACCCCGCACACACCAGACACAGCTTGATTCTTTATCTGCTGACCCACAGCTGGTGGCTGGGCTGAGGGAGCAGAGGATAGACCCAGAAAGGCTGCTGGAAGGCAGACAGCCCAGCGACACACTCATCCCCTCAGAGCGTGTGGTGCTGATTCCCTCAGTGGGAATTCCATGTATTCCAGAGGTGTGCAGAAACACTGCATTATCTGAACCACAAGCAATCCAGCTCAAAGGGGTCTGCTCGTGTTCCTTTATGCTCCTGTACTTTCCTAATCCCAAAACTCCCCTCCTACCAACCCCACCTTGAAACAGCTCCCAGTGCAATGAAATGTTCCTGCTTCAGACTTCCAAAGACATCCATAAACACTGGGGATAATTAAAAAGTGAACATCATGAAAAATGCACTGGCAAGCTGCGAAGCTGGAAAGCCAGGTAGCTTAAAGAAGTGCCAGGTATTCAACTGGTCTCCAAGATCAGCAGATGTTTTTCAACATAGCATTGCAAAAACTTCCTAACTCAGATGTGTTTCCTAAATCAGAACCAGAGATGAGAATGTGTGTTGTGTATTGGGACCATATCAAGTACTTTTCCAGCACTGTTAAGATCTGTTATTAAAAAAAAAAAAAAAAAAAAAGAAAATGTGGGGGTTGGGTGTCGATAGAAAAAATGAGGCCTGTTTAAAGGATTCTGGATGCTTCCCTAAATCATGTAAGAAAAGGAAAATTCTTTCCCCAAACTGAAAAGACTCGGATGCAATTAGGAGGGAGATACCATCAGCCTATTTCCAAGTCTGGTATTAAGCTATTCAACAAGAGAACTGTGGAATACAGTGGCTGCAGCTGATACAGCCTTAGCGATATTTAGGTGGTTATTTTATTTTCTTTTTTTACTCAATGATCTGAAAAGAAACCATTCAGCAGCTCACTTTTGAAAAGTAGCCTCCCTCACCCAGTACAAGGCAATCTGCTATAGCACTGCAATTAAAAACTCATCATCCCACTGCCACTGGGCGCTGCTTTCTCTTTCCACCAGCAGCTCCTTTACAGCCAGAGAGTGCACAGCTGAGGATCCTCTCTGCTGCTCTTCTACACCTTTGAGGAGATTTACAGGGATTTGCACATGTTTTTCTCGCTCAAAGAGAGATTATGTGGCATGATTAAGAGATATTCTAGGAAAGAAACTACCAGCTTCCTCAAGACATTCCCTTTGTTTGATATAACACCCATCAGTTATTAATGGGATGGCTTTTAGCTGTTGCTTAGCCTTAGTAATGCCATATTTAACAAAAAACATTGCTTCTCTCCCCTCTCTGTAGTGGCAGCCCTTGTCCAGCAATTTCTGGATGAATTATTCTAAACCAATATATATATTTTTTATACATACATATATATATATATATATATATATATATACACAGGTTGCCTTTCCATGTATAAAGTAATAGGAGAGTTATGAGCAGATAAGAGGACTTCCAGCTTTTGCTGTTTCATGGGAGGTGGAAGTGCAAGGACTTTCTAGGTCACTGAATCCACAACCTGGTGATGTACTGCAAAACCCTTATAGAAACCAATTTTCCACTGCTTGAAAAAAACCAAAAAACCAACAAAACACCAAACCAAACAACAACAAAAAAAACAAACCAAAACAAACCCAAAAAACCCCAAAACACCAAAAAAAAAACACAATTAGGAAAAGAATAATTTCAGACATTATGAATAGGGAATTACCATACTGCAGATAAAAAAATAAAATGTGCCTGTTAGGAAAAGTGTTCCCACTGTCTCAGGAGCTGCTCCCTGAGATGTTTAATTCTGAGATGTTTAATTCTGAGTGGATCTTTCCCTTCTACATTTGCAATGCAAGGAAACCTGGTTAAAAACTGTTCTGCCTTTCAGCTGGGTGACAGCAGGAAGGACACAGAGGAACCACAAAGGAAAGCTCTGCTCAGACCTTGCTATGCTGCACACATATCCCTGAAATCCACACCAGCCACAGCACCCACTCCAGCTGTCTTCTGCTGCTTCGTGGATGCCAAAGCAGAAGATGAACCTGCAGAAACCAGCTCAACCAGCCCAAAACCTCCAACCTTCCCACCAGGCAGCTCCAAAGCTTTTGTTGTGAATAGAAGCAGTGTTACTTATGGAGGGCATCTTTCTCCTTTGCTGCCAGACTCCCCTCCAGTCCCATGGGAAGAACCTGAGACAGAGACCAGTGGGTGATGCAATTGTCACCTTCCATGACCCTGCTAGGGCTGGAACAGAGCCAACAGCCAAAGCTACAGAGGGACCACCATGGGCAGGCAGCCTGTGCTCTCCTCCACCCAGCCCAGCTCCCATAGCACACAGCTCTTGAGGATTCACTTACTGGACATTCCATGGGGACACCTGATGTGTCCCACAGATGGATTTGGTTACAGAAACCAACCATCTGCCCCAAGGTTGTACTAACCAAAGTCTGCAAGCACCCAGAGAGCAGGATTAATATTATACTTCCATCTGCTCTGAAACATGAGCTGCCCATCAGCAACAACCTGAAGATGCCTCTGAGCTCCTAAATCCCATCTTGCCCTTGGAAAAATGCAAGCTATGAGAAAAGGAGCCACGACAGGTCTATTCCCTCAAAGCACAGGTCACATCCACAGCAGCATTTTAAATTTGTCCCATTTCCTACATGGCTAAATGCAAGGAATGTGAACAGGTCACCTCAGGAGACATCTAAGTGGTGACAACACCAATATAAAAGCACTGACTGGGTCTGCACCAATGTAACAAACTTTAAAAAGTATTAAAACAGACTGTTTATTACAGCATATGATGTATTATATTAATTTACACAATGATATATATATATATAAAAACAGCCATTGATGATGTACAGTAAATTGGACATCAACAGGAATATTAAAACTACTGATACTCATGCACGTGACATGCATATGGGTTTTTTTTTTTTCTTTTTTAAAAGCAGTTTTACACAATATAATGAAGTTACTAAGCCTTGGTCATCTGCTCCAGCTGCAGTTTACTCTGGACACCACCGCCATCCACAGCGGGACTCCCAGGAGATCGGAGCAAAGTGCACTCCAGGGAAGGCGACTTAACCTCGGAGACAGATTGAACAGGAACCCTTTCCTGGTGGGGGAAGGCTGGGGGAGGACAGGAGTGAGTTTCAAGAAAAGAATCAACAAGGAAAAAAAACCAAAACAACAGACCAGAGTACCAGAAGGAAAAAGTTCAAGATGTGGTAAGAGCAGCAGCAGAAAGGGACAAGCAAAAACATGAAGAACCACCCTCACTCCCTCCCCTTTATTCCCTAAAAACTTATGACCTTAAGCTGTTGATATCCTCTATAAGACCCAGAACTGGAAAAACTAGGCAAGGAAGATCCATTCCCAGAAACATTTTAGCCTTTTCTTGAAGCCTTCTGATATCATGCGCTGGAGGCTGTTCACCACTGAAATGGCAGTGTTGTGTTGGGTTTTTTTAAACAAGTGTAATGGTCTTTTATTTCCACATAAAAGGCACTAGTATCCACCCAAGTTCTGAAGACAAGTGACATAATTTACCTTAAGTTTTAAATATTTGTATTAAAAAAAAAAAAAAATCTGTGGAAATATGTACAAAAAAAAGCACCTTGCTTCTGAAAGCAGAAGCAGATACATTCCACCAAGTCACCTCACTAGACCGTCGTCATGAGCTTCAGGGAGCCTGACCGAAAGCGGAGGATCTTCTTCTTGAGGTTATGGGAGGCTTTGATTTTGACAAAGGCCTTGGCCGCATTTTCATGCAGCTCCGGCGCCGTGACTGTTTGGATGGGGAGTGTCTGGACAAACTGAGACCAAATCAGGCCCCCGCTCTCATCAGAGTCGCTGGTGGTCGTGCTCTCCCCTACAAACTCCACCTCGCTCAGGCTTGACTCGCTGTCTCCAAAGCAGTTCGTGGTGTAGTTGCTCTGCTCGTCCTCGCTCGTGTCCACCACGGTGGAGTGGAACAAGGACTCGCACTCAGCTGAGTACTCCGAGTCGCTGGCCACGTAGGCATAGGGGCTGACATAGGGCAGGGGCACCTGTGAGTAGACCCCCACGCCCTCCCGCCGGTTCCTCCTCGCCCTCCGCAGGGCCTCCTCGTAGGAGATCTCTGCCGAGGACTTCCAGCGGCGGTAATCGGCACGCTTGTGTTTGGGCTTGGCCACCACAACCTCCCGGCCGTGCCCATGGGAGCGGAGGGCAGATCTGTGCAGGCCGGCCTGCCGGCCCGGGAGGCTCGGCTCCAGTGGCAAGCCGCTGCCTCTCTTCCCCCGTGACGAGGGCTTTTTCAGTTTCTTATTTGTATCCAACTCCTCAGGAAAGCGGCACTTCTTGCCGGCCAGTTTGGCTTTCTCCCGCAAGGTCTGTGAGCTGTTTTCCACCCCGCTGGCAAGGTGGGACCTGTGTTTCAACGCAGAGCTTTTCAAAATCTTGACGTTCCGGGTGCCTTTGTGAAGCTTCATGCTCTGCTGCTGGGCCGGGATGTACTGGGCGTTCACCAGCAGCCCGTCGTCCAGGCTCTGTGAGGAAGAGCCCTCGCTTTTGAAATCCAGCGCGGGCCTCTCCTCGACGGCCGGTGACGAGGAGCGAGCCGCCTGCAAGCTGCTCTTCAACAGGATCTTTTTGGGAGGCTGGCTGACCCTGTTCTCTGGCTGCAGCACCACCGGCTTCCCTGGGGTCTCTTTGGGAGACGCAGCAAAGAGCTGGCCGTTCTCCTTGGGGACGTCCCCGGCCGTGGTCGCGGTGCTGCGGCCCAGCTCCGGCGGTGCCGGTTTGACGCCCCGTGGCAGGTGCTTGCTCTGGAGTTCCGCTGCTGTGCCGGGTGGGAAAGCTGCCGGCAATGGGGCCTTCCTACTCTCCAGCTGCTCCCCAGCCGGCTCCCTTGGCCTCTGCTTTAACGGGGAGGGAGCCGTGTGATCCAGAGCGGGGGTCCCACCGGGAGGCAAACACACTGGCTTGGAGCCCTTCAGGTTCACCACGTTGCCGTGGGCCACCATTGCTGCCGGCGGCCGGACGCACATGCTCCCATGCCTCAAGATCCCTTTGGTGGCATCGGCGTTGAGACTCGTCCGGGGTTTGTTAGTCCTTACTGCGTGAGTCTTTTTCTGAACCAGGCTTAAGATGTAGCTGTCTATCCTCTTGCTGGTGGAAGGGCACGGAGCCGGCCAGGAGCTCTGCGGGGGGAAGGCGTTGGCGGATTGTCCCGAGTCCATTTCGGATGGAGTGCAAACGTCGCTCATATCGCCAGCGAGCCTCTCCTCTTCTCGCTGGGGGTTCTCAGTCACGGGGAGAAGGAACATGGGGCTCTGCACAGCCACAGCGTGGAGCGGGCTGGGGTAGCGGTAGATGTCGTTCCCGTTTTTAGACACCAGATCGCACTGGTACTTGGGATGTACATCTGCAACGACATCGAGGGAATTTGAGTGCGGTGTGGATAAAGAGCGACAGACAGAGCCTGCGGTCTGGTCCTCATGCTGGCCTTCCTTATTATAGTCCATCCAGCCTATGAGATCTGAAAGGCATTTTAGAAGAGTTTAGAGAGCCTACCAGGGACAGCTGTGCTACGTTTTTAATGTGCTGCCAAGGACGCCGGTCCATCTACACACAAGATGCAAAGCTTTAACTACAGCAGCAGCAACTTTGCAACCAGGGGTTGCTGTTCAAACAATATAAAAAGCAGCACTATCCTTCTGTGGGTCTCCCTGTCACCGCATCTACGTGGGATTTACCCCACTACGACCACATGGTTAAAACAATAAAAATCGCAGCCCTAATGAGAACACGTACATTGGTTTCAAACCTGTGCCCAGGTTGTTAAGATCTTCCTATCTTCCTTTCAAGCCACCCAGAAGTCTGCAAGGGTCTCTTATATGTTACACAGTCACCTGTGAAACTCTCTGCAGGCCTCAGCACATATGAATTTTAAATCCAAAGAGAAACATAAAAAATACAGACAAGAGAACAATTAATTCTTGTAGCTTATTGACAAACTTCACTTCCGGATTTTATTCAAGCATGTCTCGGGTCAGGAAAAAAATCCAGACTTAATTTTATTGTTATTATTGTTACTACTATTATTATCATAACATTTATAGCAATGCCAATAGTAATAACAGATGCTCCTTTTGAGTAATAAGGGGTTAAAGAATGGGAAACAGGCTCATGTTTTCACACAACTACAAGGAGTGCAGGTCAATCCAGCTGACATCCTAGCCTTGGCTCTGCAAAGAGAGTTCTGCCAGAGAAATCCAGTGCTTTTCAAGATGCATGAGTCAGATTTAATGACTAAGGAGCTTACTAAGAGAGGTAAGCAACCTTAAGAGCAGGGCTTCCACTCAAGCACCTAAGATTACTATTATTTTTTAAGCTTAAGTTGCCCTTGTTGTCTTCTTGGGTAGGGGTACAATCTAAATGATCTTCTGCCAGTCCTGTTTCCTGCCCTTGGGCTGGAAACTTCAGCCAGGGTACTCCACTTGGAATGCTCAGTGCTCTTCACTTATCTAAGGCTTATTTCCAAGAGGTCTCATGGGCACTGATGAAATTTGCTGATAGAGATGATGTTCCCCCAGAGAGGAAGACCAGGGAAGTTAAGAGAATAAACTTCCTCCAGATCACCTCTCAGTTTTCCTGCGTTTCCTAAATTCTACATTGGCTTCAAGGAATGTTGACAAAAAGATATTTTTTTAATTTGTCCATTTGTGAAATTTCATCCCTGAAAGTGAGACTGTATGAATAATGAGAGGCTTAGGTTTTCATGGTGTATACAGAAAAAATAGCAATGCAATCAGCTGGAATTCTTTGTGTAGTTTTTTTTCTTTTTAATGTATGGCCCATGAAGATCAAATATACCTTACAACAGGGAACATTAAATTACCTTGAGCTGCTCACAGAAAAACTTAGGGGACTTGTCAGCATCTCAGAATGAATGTAACCCAGGCTGTATTTTCCCAGTTCAGAAACAGGATAGCATGAATTATTCTGTCCTTGATTCACAACAAATCACTATAATTTAGCCTTAAAAGCAGAATGCAAATTGGAAATTTGGAAATATTGTAAATACTGTGGTTGGAATCACCTTCCCCAACCCAGAATGAGCTAAAGCTTTTGAAAATGTCTGCACTCAATAACACTTGATCACAACAGTCCTACTGAAGAGTCTTTCCTGGAGAACAGAGGAGGCCTTCCTATTGAATCATCCCCCAAATCAAGGCTTGCATCTTCAGACTGGTGTCCAAAGAAAGTTCACAGCTCTCTGCCAGTGAGACAAAATGTACCTGGCCTGTTCATCATGTCTATTTGTCTATACTATATAAATACAGACACACCTCATCTGCCTCACCTGGGGGTCTGGGACCATCAGAATTGACAAAATGACTGCTAAAAACATGTGCCCTGACCCCCTAAAACCTGGAGCTGCTCCTTACTCTGTGACTTTAATGCTGACATGGCTAAGAGCTACCGTTAATTATTGCTATTCACTAAAAATGCTTTTCTAAAGAAAGAGAAATCAGCTGACTGATGTGTTTCTGTGTACAGGTACCACTGCCCTCTGCTGGGTAGAGCAGCTGTCAGATCTTCACATGCCATTTTCATGTGTTAAGAGTGACATATTCATGTGCAAAGCTGGACCAGTGGAGGGCAAACAGTCCTGCCTCATGACCCACGTATGTGAGAGGCACTGGGATCTTTTCACAGCATAATATGGCACATGAAAGGAAGAAGGGTTAATCCAACCCAGGTGCTCCTGAGGCAGTATTTCCAAAGCCAAAGCCACCTCCTGGAGTATGATGTATTCGACCTGCTTTTACTATACCTGCAGATTTAGGGCGTCCATCTGAGATATTCAGTGTTGCCTCCAAAGGGCTGCAAAAGCAAGTGCTAGAATGGCAACTGGATAAACACTCACTGAAGACAGAGTTAGATGAATTGGAAAGCGATCCAGAAGCTCCATCACTCAGCTCATAAAACCCTATAAAAATAAGAGTTTGGATTTATATTAGTTATGACTACACAAAGTTACTATTTGTGTCCCTAGAAAGGCAGTCAAGCTGGTGTTTGAGTTGGCTTATTCTAACACAAGTAGTTATGGGATTTCATTCAGCCACCCCAAAAACAGCCAGCAATTTAGTAATATCCTTATTGCCATGAATTTACTTTGTTTAAAAGTAAAGCACTTAAAACAGCAGAGCTTATCTCAGCATATGGATTTTTTTTTTAACTTTACAAGGGTTGGGTTCTAACCCTTACAGGGATTTTCAGATTTTAGCAACAAGGATCCAGGCTGTGTTTGGCAGCCCACTCATTTAATAGAGTGTTATAGTTCCAAGACAGATTCTCCAACTATTACTTAACTATGAAAGTGTTGGGCCCAATGCTATCCATTACTTTCCTCAAAGTTCTGGAGATAAATATAATATTTGTGGATGAGAGGAATGAAGAAAAATGGTAAATAATGTGCAGATGCATCAAATTAAATTTCCTGGTAAACTGGGACTACTCAAGGAAAAACAACACACCACAACCAAAATTTAAATCATTCATTTAGGAATAAGGAATTCAGAGCATGCCTTCAGAACGAAGATGCATCTTGGAAAACAATAATCCTGGAAAGGGCTTAGTCAGCATGGAAAAGCAGCTCAATCAAGCTTAATGATATGGCAAAAAAAAAAAAGCTAATGAGATTGTTGGATGTACAAAGAAGCTAATGAAGAGCAGCAGGGAAATGACTTCAGCAGTCTACATGGCCCTGGTAAGAAACATTGGAATGGTGAGCACAGTCCTTGAATCCAGCATGCTTAAAACAAAGCTAAAAAAATTGGAAAGAGGCCACCAAGCTATTTAGGAGCTTGGAAAAATGCCTTAAAATGAATGACTTCAAGAACTTGACCTGTTTAGCTCATCAAACGAAAGCCAGGAATTATACTGTATAGCACCTCCAAGAGGAGGGAAAGCTGGGTATTAGAAAAGACCTTTCTTTAGGGGAAAAAAAACCAAACCCAAAAATCAGTGCTGGAACAAGAAGGATTCAGACTAGAAATTAGCAATGGCTTTAACAATTGCAAGTTGGAGAATTCTCCTTTTTAGTGTGTTCAGAACAAGTCTAGAGGCCTCTAGGAAAGGCTCTCCATAGTTAAATACCATTTACTGGCTTCAGCGCAGTTAGAATGAGATTAAATTCAACATATGGGGGATGAAATTGTTTGATTCTGTGCTCCTTTCTGGCTGTATGACCACTTTTGATGTCTTCCTCCTGATGGTGGTGCTTCTTTCTACCATTTTTCCTTCTGCCTCCTCCTTAATATACAGGACAATTAGAACTTTGCAAACCAATGTGAGGGTGGCCTTGAAAAAACAAATGCTCCAAACACTAAAAATGTAATTAAGCTTGAAATGCTCCTCTGAAAGAAGCAAACAGCAGGTTTTCAGTGAACTCTCTTAGAAGGAATTAATTATCAGAGTGTGAACGAGATGTAGACATTTACTGCTGGAGTACTGAAAACTCCAGCACTAAAATCTACAGCCAGTTTAATTCCAGGTCCCAAGGGAGGCTGCATTTTGCTGAGTACTGCCCTTACCTGAACTTGGACGACTGTCTGTCTCCAGGTGCTCATCTGTCGTTTTTTCCACGTCCAGGCGGAGATCACTTATTTGCTTATCCAGCTCTTGCAACTGATTTAATAACCCAGCATCCCTCCTCCTCAAGCAGTTCTGCAAGAGAAGAGGACAAAGAACATCAGCTCCTTCAGTGAGGCAGATGTGAAAGGGTCCCAAGGACCAATAGACTTGTCTGTCTAAGCCTTGTGAAACACCTCATCGATATCCTTTTATATAAAAACCCAACAAAGCCCCAACATTTTAGATGGATGCTCTGGATAAATACTTAAGTGAAAAATTATGCAGGCACTTCATCCCAGCCTGTTCCAGCCAGTTCTGCATGAGGAGCATGTTCCACAGTTCACAAAGACCAACAGGCTGTGCTGACCACAGCTGTAAGAACAAAGCTGGATTGTGTGATACGGCCAAACCAGACCTGTGCACATGGAACGGGCAAGGACGGCCGTGCCAGCCGAGCAGGGCACGTTCCCCACCACACTGGTGCTACTCAAAGATCACATCTGCTCACACAATAGCACCAAACAGCTCTGCCAACAAGTGCCTGTGGTGTGGGAACCGCCTTGTTCTGCTGCACATTATGAGCTTAGAGTCCACCATCCAGAGAGCAAGATTCCCAGGGCGAGGATCACAGCCCTTTTATAAGTTTTGCAGTGCAGCAGGAAGGAAGAGTAATTCTTCCTCTTCTCCCATTATAATTGTATGAAATTGCTGCAAGATGAATTTTAAGGCTATTTATGAAGGTAATTTGATGGCATAAAATAAGCAGTAAGAAATTACTTTGCAAGGCACTCATTAACCCACGGTCAACACAATCAGTTTCCCCCTGTGTATTATAATGTTGCTTATCCATCATCTGTTCAGCTTCATACCCTTTAATTGCTCTGGCTTTGGGGAAAGTGGAGGAGGCTGGAGGAAGGTTCATCTACTTTTGTTTCTTTGAGTGCATCATTTGACTGGCACTCAGGGGTGCTCTGATACATTCATCGCAATGAGTTTTGATGTTCATAGCAGGACTAGTTCTAAACCCATTAAATCCAGGATAATCTTTTCCATGGAGTGGACCAGTCAAAGAATCATAGATTCACAGAATGGACTGAGTTGGAAGGAACCCTAAAGATCATCTCATTCCAACCCCCTTGCCATGGGAAGGCAAAACCTTTCTCTAGACCAGGTTGCTCAGAGCCCTGTCCAGCCTGGCCTTGGTCAAAGGCAGAACAAATGCTAAGAGCACTGGCAAGCAGCGCTTGAAGATGTGCTGGCGTTTAATGCCATCCTTTGGAGAACCAAAGGGGTGATCCCAAACCTTCTCCCCCGTTCCTGCGGGAGCCGGGGCTGGCTGGCAGCCAGGCTGGCGGAGGTGATGGGTTCAAGGGATGACTTCGCTGCGCCACCTACTGCCACCAGCGCCCCCTCCCCCAGTCAGCACCGCATCTGCTTCCAATCTGCAATGTCAAGTGCACAAATTAAAGTGCTACCACAAATCCCCGACTTTTTTTCTTTTTTTCTTTTTCCTTTTTTTTTTTTTGAGTAATGATTCCGTGATCCTTCACTACGGCTCTCGGCCGGCAGTCAGCCCCTTCTTAGCAGAAAAAAAAGAATTTATTTTTATCTTTTTAAAAGGGAAATAACCCTAACCTAACTAAACCAAATGGGGGAGAAGAAGAAAAAAAAAATAAGAGGAAAAACGGGGGGTGGGTGGGGAAAAGAAGAAAACAGGGAAGTAAATCACGCAATCCAACTTCTCCCTGGGTGAAAGCAAATGCTGAGCCGCGCACAAAGAGCGCCAGGCACAGCTGTACGCTATTTTCATTGAAAAATGATCTGCCGCTTCATGCCGCCCTCCATCTCTTCCCACACCAGCTCCAAAGCGCGTCCTCCAACAAAAGCATCCCTTCTTCACGGGCCCGATCCTGGCGGTGCCCGCTGCCTCCTCCCGGGGCTGGGACCCGGCAGCTGACTCCCAACTTCCATTCATGGCAACGGCGGCGCCTCTCTTTGCCATGAATGGAAGCGGGACGGCCGGCCTGGCTCCGGGACCCGAAGGGAACTGTGCGGCCACCGGCACGACCCCGGCACGACCCGCGCACCTCCGAGCTGTCACCGGCCCGCCGGCTCACCTGCGCGCCGCGCCGGGTGACAGCGGGGCGGGGGAGCCGCCCGCGGGGACTCCCAGCTCCTTCCTCGCCTCTCCGCGGGCAGGACCCGCGGCTCACACCCACACGGGGGGACCGAGCGGCCGCGCATCCCCCGGCGCTCCCCGCCCGCATCCCCGCCCGCATCCCGCGGCGCTCGCCACTCGCATCCCGCGGCGCCCCTCGCCCCCGCTCACCAGCTGCCTCCGCAGGAGGAGGATGTTCTCCTCCAGGAACTTCTCCTCCAGGCTGCGCGGCGGCGGCCCCTCTCCCGGCGGCTCCCCGCGGCCGCCCTGCGCCCCGGGCCCCGCTCCCGCCGGCCGCCGCAGCAGGAGGCTCTTCACCAGCAGCTCCTGCCGCTGCCGCAGGTACTCCAGCTCGCCCAGCCCGGCTAGCGTGGCTTCCAGCCGCTCCCGGGTGCGCTGCCGCTCCGCCTCCGCTTCGCCCTTCTCCCTCCAGCGCGCATCGGGCTCCCGCGGCGCCCCCGCGGCTCCCCCCGCCGCCTGCCCCGGCCCCGCCGCCGCCGCGGCGCTCGCCACGGGGCTCGCCTTCATCGCCGGGGAGGGGGCGGCCGCCGCTGCCAGCCCTGCCCGCGGGGGCACCGCGCCGAGCCCCGCGCTGCTGCCGCTGCCGCCGCCGCTCGCGAATGGTCCGCGGGGCGCCCGGCTGCCTCCCCGGCTGCCACCGCCCCGCTCCCGCCCACCGCCCGCCTCCATCCCTCCTCCATCCCTCCTTCATCCCTCCTTCATCTCTCCTTCCCGCCCGCCTTCCTCCCCGCCCGGCCGTGGCTCCACGCCCGTGGTCGTCCTGCTCCTCATCTTCCTCCTCCTCCTCCTCCTCTCACCTCCGTCGTCCGCTCTCTGCGGCGGAGTGCGGGAAGGTGGGGGATGCGGGAGTGCAAACCGCTGACCTTCCCAAAAACTCCATCCGCGACCTCTGGAGCCCTGCAGGGCGTAGTCACGGGCTAGCACAGAGTGATGACGGAATTATTGTTATAGAACCGCAGAACGGTTTGAGTTGGGATGTTAAAGACCACCCCGTGCCATGGGCAGGGACACCTCCACTAAACCTGGCTGCTCCAAGCCCCGTCCAACCTGGCCTGGAACACTGCCAGGGATGGAGCATCCACAGCTTCTCTGGGCACCCTGTGCCTCACACCCTCACAGGGAAGGGTTTCTTCCTAATTCTTTATCTAAACCTGCCCTCTGACAGTTTAAAGCCAAACGCTGCTTATACAAACCAACACATCCAAACCAGGAGCAAAAATGATGCATCATTTTTGAATAAAAAACAAAAATCCACGCATGAAGAGGTGGGAGTGTAAGGAGAGGGAAAAGTGGGAAGCAGAGGAGAACATGGAAGTCCTTACAGTGGGGTGCTGACCATGGCATGGGCAGTGGGATCAAAGCACTGGGGAGCTGTTTCTTCAAAGCCTGTGTGAGTAAACCACTCAAAAAAAGCCATAATGAAGTGAACTTTGCAGCAGCACGCAGACTAATTGCAGCAAAGGATCTGCAATTAGGTTTTCAATGGGCATGTGGTGGAAAGAGGCGGAGAGTGGAATGCAGATGCTGAAGGGAAATAAAAAAAAAAAAGGAAAATGTTAGTTTCAAAATAGAGCAAAAATTGTGTTGCAGACATGTACTAAGGGGAGAAAATGGAAGAGGTGGAAACAGGCATTGAGGGATGCCTCACAATGTGGAACCTCCACAATATGGGCTTTGTTTGGGAAGAGGTGTCCCCACTGTACAATGGCTATCATGGACATTATGAGCATAAGGAAATGCTCTTTCTCACTAGCCCTCCAAAGATTATGAGTGTTTGTGGTACTGAAAGGCCTCAGATGGAATTTGTCTCCTCACTCCCATGCTGCTTGCACACACAACACATAGTGCTGTGCCACACACCTGCTTTACCTGGTGGGTCCTTGTCCTGAGAGCCCACAGCTGGCAAAATCCTTACTTCACAGGCTTCTTAAACCACTGTAAAATGCTTTCAAAAAAGGACATCCACTTCCTCTTGCAGCTTAAAACCAGCCCCCACAAATCCTGACCCAGATGTAGGTGAGGGCACATGGCTGGGGCTAAAGACAGCTCTGCTCCTTTTTGCTGCTTCAGCCCACAGCCATGGCAGTGGAGGCCATCTGTGGTCATCTTTTAATTTAAACTGGGAGGGACTTTTCAAAGGGTGTCTCCAGATCATCCCAGCTCACCTGAGATTGCTAAGAAACACTGGAAATAAAAAGAAGCCACATGCTGGACTGCTCTCTCTCTACTCCTTTTATGTATCTGAGCCCATAAAAAGGCCCAAAAGTAGGTTCAACCCCTGCCCCACAACATTTGGGCCACCACTGCTGACTTAAAAATCCTCTCCATGGCTTTCCCTCTTGTGTGGGTCTTGGCTCACAGAACCCCTAAGCATGCTGATGCTGAAACTTATATTGCAACACAGAGTTGATTTTCCAAGGGTACCAGAAGCTCTCCAGATACAGAAGCAAACTTCCTTCCACATTTTCCTTCACCCTTTGTAGCCAGGTTTTGCATATAGCTCTGTGCCTTGTATGTGTTTGCACACAAAGCTTCATGCAATATTTATGCAAAGCTATTTCAGCTCCTTCTGAGCTGTTGTGTGCTGTACAATGTACACATTGCTTCCAAAATAAAATACAGCTGAATAAAATCTGTCTTAATGATATTTTTTATACTTTGCAACTTATCAGCTGGTAGATTTCAGTCTGAGTCCTTCCTCCCAAGTCACCTCTTCCACTCTGAGGAGTATAGGGTGCTGTCTCCAGGACTCTCTACTGACATTTCTGTGCTCATCCTTCACAGTGCATCAGTTCCAGGAAGGAAAAGAAACACAGGAACTGCCAGAACAGTGAATTCTCTACATCCCATGGAGGGGAGAACACAGCTTCGGGTGAACCAGACTCAACATGTGGTTATAGGATCAGCAAAGAGGAAGGGAAGGAGGATCTGATGAAGAGGAACTCAGGTTTTTCCCCATAGAGGAAGGAATGAGGTGCCTGGGAAGCAATGGGACTGGGGAGACTGGACAGGGAGGAGATGTGCAATTGAGCAGCCAGCAAGAAATGACAATTTATGTGAATAACAGAAGGAAAACAAGGCATCACCTAAGACATAACAAGGCAGGAGAGGGCCACAGAGACTGCTTGAGAGCTGGGATACAGCTCAGCATGGAGACAAGGGAGGAGAGAGCCTGGAAAGGCAGGGTATGAAAGCAGGAGAGAGAGCAAAGAGAATGAGCATAAAATACAGGCCTTTTAATTTACTCAGGAAGTCACTCAGAAAACAGCAAAATGAAAGGCTCATAGGCAGCAAGAGGGGACAATATGGTGAGAAGATGGAGAAAGGGGTAGGTACCATCCTTTAGTAAAATAGGGATTTTAAGCACACGAGGAACAAGAGACTGAGATTGCTTTCTCCCCTCTCAGTTACACTACAGTCCATCATCCCAATGAAAAACCAGTCTGAGAGAAGAGAGAGGCCCCAGTCCCCGTGCTAGCTCTGACTGGACCTTTGGAGGCCTCTCTCTCAGCAAACCAAACATCTCAAAACTCTTTGCAAGGGCTGAATAATAGGACTCTCCTATGGAAAAAAAAAATAAATCTAGTCTAAAATTGTCTTCCATTCATGTCCTGGCTTATGGCAACAGCTGAAGGACTTGCTCTTACACTCTTTTGGAAAGCTATTCCTTCACTGGGGTATTCAGATTCAATTCTCCATGAATAATCCCAGATTCCCCACTGAATGTGGAAACAGCAAGGAGTGAGGCGGTGAGATGTCTGCAGGTGAGGAGAAGAGCTGATGATTGAGGAGCTCTGTTGCTAGGATGTTATGAGAGATGTAATTCTGTCTGCTACAGAGGCGGTTATGAAATGCTTCATCTCTTATGATGATCCTGGCTCATCTCCTCTGGTTGTGTTATTAAGTGGTAGAAATGCTGTGTTCCTTCAGGATTCAGAGATGGGGAATGAAGAGATGGTCTCTGCCCCACAGAGCTTACAAGACAAGAAAGAGCTGCCTCTGATAATATAAAAGGGGCCCTGGGAAAGTAGTGGATGGCACAGTGAATTCCAAACACACAGGCAAGGGGTGAAAGATTCTGACCCCCATCTCCCGGTCATTTCCTTCCCACTGGGAGCAAACCCCTACATCCCAACCCACACATTTGCCTTTCACCCTGCTGATCATCAAATTCAATTTAGATTGAATGAGGCCAATTACCACTTGTTGCTTTTCCTAGGTTCACTTCTGACCTGTCACACTGTAATGAGTGTAGGGAATTGGAAAAATTGAAGAACATGACAATTCCCTGTTGGCGAAATGAAAGCAAATGCTTTCCTTGCTCATCGAAACACAGCAGGGTGACACAAACACTTGGGGTCCGTGCCTAAGACCCACAGCTGTCTGATCCTTTATTTTAATCTATTCTAATGTTAATTGTCCAAGTATTTCTTAATTGCATTGGATAATATAATAGGGCATAAATCTTATCAGCAAATCAGCCTGGCATCAGGCTGTGTTATCGTATTACCATGGTTACATTATTATTGCAAGTGAACCTTGTGCTCATTACTAACCACAAACAATTCTAGCAAACAAGCTAAACTGGAGCAAAATATCCTGGCGGTGTTTCCATTTTTTGTCAAACAAAACTAATTTCTCTGGGTGCTAGGTAACGGCAGCATACCTAGGATGCATTTTCAACCTTCTGCATTTATTTACTTGCATTTGTACAGCACTTATACATTTCCCTGCTCTCAACAAGGCACAGAGGCCAGATTCTCAGAAAGTGGAATAGAATCTTCAACACAAACTCACAGTATTCAGATGACAAGCACTGCCCCAGCCTGTCAAAACACTGCCACGTTTGTACAGTTGTGACAAAAACTGCTGCATTGGGAACCTCTGGCAGCTTGATTAGGTCCCTCAAGGGCCCAGTTCCCCCTTGCTCTCATCTGCTGTGGCCTCCCATCAAAAAACACTTCCCACGGGGTCACTGTGAGGGTCCAACTCCCCCCACCTGCTGTAGGAGAGGAGGACATGTGATGGATCCAGCGAGGGCAGCGCTGCCCTTCCCTGCTCCAGACTGTTCATTTGGGCATTTTCTACTCTTCCTCTGTTGCACAGCATTGTTCCACCAGCTGTGCTGGGTCTGTGGCTGCAAAACAGATCTCTATTCTGGTCTGAGTTTAAAAAAAAAACCCAAAATAACAACTTCTTTCCTTTTTTGATGATATTTCAGTGATCCACTTTTAAGGGTGAGCAGTTGCGCTGGCACGACTGAGAAAGCAGAGCTGTGCAGGAATGGAGAGACAAGAGCAGGAAACCCTCCAGCAAAAACCTCCATCCAGACGGAATGTGGAAGGAAGGATGGGCTGTTTTCAAAATAAGAAGTCACCCAGGAGGCCATGGAAGAGGATGCAGACGACAGCTGCTTGTGGGGAAGCAACATTAGAGCTTCTCCAGACATTCCTGTCAGACTACAAGCCATGCAATGACATTCATTTCCTTTTCACAGCAGCAGCCCATCTGTTGTGTCAGGAAAAG